AAAAAATATATATTTAAGGGCTCTACTTCTGCCTGGTGGTTGAACGCCTTGAGAGATGTGCTCTCATTAAGCCAAAGTGCAGGACCTCCAGGGAGCATCAGAAGCTGAGCCCAATGAAGAGGGATAAAAAAAAAATTGAATGCATGATAATGCTATAGGGTGAGGTTAATCAGCATTTCTAGCAGTGCTAATGAGCGTCTGCAACAAAAATGATATCACCAGGTTGAGAGGAGAACCCCTCCTTCGTACTTGCAGAAATATAACAGCCTACACACTAATGAGAGTCCACAACAAAAATAAGTCACCAGTCACTACACATGAGATAAAGCAACTCACTTTCTTCATTGATTGGAACTCTGATGGCAAGGCATGTGACAGAGGCTGATTCCACAGCAGAGTTGACTGTCAACTAAGCCTGTCTTGTGGGAGCATAACTAGTTCATGATGTCTTGCATTTCTTCCCCCCCATAGGATTGGGTCCATGGCCCCTCACCCCTTTCACAACCACCACCCCTTGCCATCCCTGTGAAGAACTTGTGAAGAAAAATTCTCACCAGGTTATCCCATATATTTCAAAATTGCCAGGAAATCCCGCACTGAGGACCACTGCTTTTCTCTCAAAGATTGTGTGCCTCATTATGTGTCTAGGAGGCGAGAGAGCGACTGTCAGAGACCAGATCGAGACAAAGGAATGTCTCCGTGGCAGAGGGCTTCGGCCTCAGCGACTTATGCCAGGAGTGCTGTGCCAAGTAACATGTCTGTGCCCTAACTTACTAACTGGCAACCAGAACTAAAGGGGGTAAACTCTAGTCACTTTTATTACTGAGGTGTAACCTATGTACAAGTTGAGTATATATAGTTACAATGAGGACAGGCCCGTAAATGGCAGGGCCGAGCGGAGCGGAGCTAACGGAGTTAAACATTAGCCGATTGAATATTACCAACAAGTCGGGTTATGGGGTTAGCGGAATGGTAGGCGATGACCCAGAAACGGAAAGGAGGGATAGGCCCAAAGGTGGGCTTGCAGGGCAAGCGAGTGTATTGCCCAGTGGAGGCGGGAGTGCGCTAGCGAACGTTGGAGCTGTCCAGAAGCCTTCAGGGCTCCATACTTAGGGAGGCATAGGTAATAAATTAAAAAGAGGGGGTGGTGACCATCGAGGGATACCGAGGTGATTGCGGAATATGGGAGCTCCAAGGTTAGTGGAGAAGGAGCGGAGGTAGTCCGGAGGGATTGGAAGCGGTGGAAGTCGATGGCCGTGGATGGATATGACAGCGACTGCTAGTGTACAAAATGCTTTACAGAGTAAGCAATTTGTGGAGCTCAAATGTATAATGGATATTGTCGCTGACACCATGTTACATAGTGGGAACGAAATACTGGAAAAAAGTTACGCACTGGTGTGAAGGATGTTCGCTTATATGTACTGGAGAACGTAAATCCTCTATTATACACTAATTTCAATACGTTGTGAAGATATTTTTTTCAAGCCTTAAATGAGTCCAAGATCCTATACCATTCTGTTAGTCATCCCTCTCTCTGATTCTACAGCATAGGGTCATTACCTTTTCGATCAATCTCTGAGTGATTGCATGGAAATAAATTTTGTTTTCCTTAAAAGTCTTCCTTGCGAGAGGCATGTCAACTTTGCCAATCGCTCTAAAAATGGGTCTGCAGAACTTCATTTGGCCATTCAAACCAGGTTTCTCTACAAGCCATGCTGTTGCATCAGGTGTGTATTTTTTCGCTGCATTGGGAGACACATTGCAGAGATGTTGGGTCTTTTCTGCTCCAGTGAGTAGGGCATCAACATCCCAGGGTGCACCTCCCCCAGGGAGTTCCCAGTTCCAGGCATATAGCTGGCTGCTTGATTGATCAGCATGAGCGTTTCCGCATTCCCCCCAGGCGATGGTGTCTTGTCTGGATCTGACTGATTGTTCAAGGTGTGCAGTGTAGCGTCTGAACGCTTCTTGGCTGTTGAACAATTGGACTCTGTCAAGGAGGAGGAGTGGCTGGCAGGCGTCTCCCAGGTTGAGTGATTGACGGCCAAATGCGGCAACAAGCTCGTCAAAGTCTCGAAGGAGGGCTGAATCGTCCCAACAGCTCCCTCCAGTGCTGTGAGAATCAGATCTTCGACGATGGGAGGGGCATCTTGTGCATTCAGGGCTTGCATGCTTTGGGTGGCTGCAGCTTGGGTGTCGACATTCTGGGACATAGTATGATCACAAGATCTCCGATAGATAAATAGAAAGGGCTGTAAATACTGGAAGTAGGCAAGGAAGGTTGTTAGGCGATGGCAGCGATTTCAGACCAAGGCTGAATCGAAGCATTCTGACTCACCGAGGAAGAACGGGCTGGCAATGGCTGGGGAACAGGAGGCATAGGTGAGAGCACCCTTTTAAGTGCGCGGACATTCCTGTTGACATGTTAGGTTTTAGGCTGCACCACAGCTGAGACTGTTCCACTCTGTGCAGCATGCGGCCTGGAACCAAGCAGGCTGTGGTCCATGATGAGGGAGACACCATGAGATAGTCCTCCAATGGTGGTGGGTAATGCAAAAAATGCAGATGCAAGCAAAGATCGACGAAAGAACAGAGAGGTTACAAACAAATAGGGAAGAACTGAAATATGAAAAAGAGAGGCTATCACCAAAGTTGTAAATGGGATCCTACCCATGTAACCGAAGGTCACAATGCCTTCACCCCTAGTAAGACCAAATACTTACAATTGAACAGTCAAACTATTAACGAAAAATAAAAAATCAGAAAAGACAAAAAGACTGAGATAAAAAAAAGCAAAATGGCAGATGAATCAGTGCAAAAGGCTGAGTGAATCAGTAGGTGCAAAGATGGCACATAGGCTGAAGTGCAACAGTAAGCACGATGGCACAAGGGGCCAATGGCATTGAAGCCAAAGGCATGGCAGCAGGATGCGAAGAAAAGAAAGAATATTACATACCAATATGAAAGGGCAGCAAAAACCAACACTAGAAAATACTGAGAGATGATGAGAAAAAACAAACTGAGCATACACAAAAATCAGCATTTGAAAGGGCATAAGTAGGTATGCTGTACACGAGGTCAAGGAGAGTTTCCTGTGTGCAGCAGACCCAAAGGAAACCAGAGTGCTAGAACTAATAATACGGAAATGGTTAGAAATCAGGAAAGCCAATTAATATGCACAAAATCAGAAACAGTTGGAAAAAAGGATATGGAAGCCAACACGAACTGCATCATAAGGTGGTGAAAGGGGAGGGGGTGGGAGACGCAAAACTAGTCAAACTGCAGCAGCAGATATGAGCAAGAGAACAGCAACCTAGAGAGTGTCAGGGATCAGCAACGACCATGGACCCTATGCTGGCTGCGCATATGCACGTGGGAAGTATGCCGGTAATTCCCGTCTACTCCGCTTACCTAAGCCCCGGTGACCCAGATCATCTCTGGCATTGTTCTGGAACATTCTATGATCACGTGATTCTATCGGCAATCCACCTGGTTTCCTTATTGCCGGACTCTACATGTATATAGCTGACCCTACGATGGGGACATCCCTTTCCCCCAGCTTTAATCACAACTAGGTTATTGGAGCATCCTGCGCGAGCATGCACGTCCCCTGACAGAGAGTGGGAGAGGCAGTGGTTCATGAGTGTGAGAGCAGCAAGTTGGCCTTTTACTCACAGATGTGAACAGCTGACAAGGAAGGGGCATTGTGAAAGCCCTGTTACAGTAATTGTCATATCCATCCACAGCCAGCGACTTCCACTGCCTCTGATCTCTCCGGACTATCTCCGCTCCTTCTTCACTAACCTCAGAGCTCCCATATTCTGCAATCACCTCTGCTTCCCTCGATGGTCACCACCCCCTCTTTTCAATATATTACCTATGCCTCCCTAAGTACAGAGCCCCAAAGGCTTCCGGACAGCTCTGACGTCCGCTAGCGCACTCCCACCTCTGCTGGGCAATACACTTGCTTGCCGTGCAAGCCCACCTTTGGGTCTATCCCTCCTTTCCATTTCTGGGTTATCACCTACCATTCTGCTAACCCTGTAACCCGACTTGTCAGTAATATTTAATCGGCTAATGTTTAACTCTGTTAGCTCCGCTCCGCTTGGCCCCACCATTTATGGGCCCGCCCTTGTTGTAACTATATATACTCAACTTGTACATAGGTTACACCTCAGTAATAAAATCGACTAGAGTTGACCCCCTTTTAGTTCTCGTTTGCCAGTAAGTAAATTAGGGCATGGACGTGTAACTCGGCACAGCGCTCCTGGCATAAGTCGCTGAGGCCGAAGCCCTCTGCCATGGAGACATTCCCTCGTCTCAACCTGGTCTCTGACATTAATGGCCTGATTCGTCATGAGCACTCTCATGAAGTCCAGTACATACCCGGTATGGTTCGCTTCATGCATCCACACCAGAAAACCCAGCATAGTTCTTGGGTCCATCAAATGGTCAGGTTTGTGCAGCAACTTGTGAAAGAGGCAAAGGGGGGAGTGCAGTGCTGAGACAGGCACAGCAGGGTCTGATCGAGCAGGAGAAGCATCAAGTCTGATTGGTGCAGTCTTGAACATTAAACAACAATAAGTACACTGTGGTCACATGGGTTAAGGCGAGTAACTCGCCTTAGACCACGTGAGTTCCTTAAAGCATTGCACAATCAAGGAATGACAGAATGCTCACCATCCACAAGGAGCCCTAATGCTCCCCAAGAAAATGGCAAGAGACTCAACGCTCGTTAGCGCAGCATGCCGAACCCTCTAGGATGAGAACCCACCTTGCCGTTGGTCTAGAGGCTCCCCCAGTGCCCAATGTGGTCAGTCAGGTCTAAGAGGTTCTCCTTTGCCACCATGGATAATGGTGTGGATGGCAGTTACACGTTGAGCTATCCTGCATTGGCCTTTCTGTGCCACCTTTTCCATCCGCTCCCCCCTTTCATTGTGCTCCCAGCAACTAGTTGGGCGTCTTTCCTCTCCACCATTTGCTATAACATTGGGTGGTTTCTAAAACACACGGTTTCCATGTGGGCATCTAACAGCTCCCTTTTCATTCATGCGGTTCTCCAAAAGACCAAGAGGCACAAAGGAGTTGGTCTGGCCAACATTCTCAGGTGCAGTTTCCCTGTCCCCATGATACTCCAAAGCATCAAGAGGCATGAAGGCATTTGTCTGGCCAACAATACAAGGAGCTGGCATCTGTTTCTACCACACCCCTATACACTCACCCTCGGAGACAGCTAGGAATTCACTAGAATTCCGATGCTAACCACGCTTTGATTTCTCTATTTGTGCATAATTTCAGATTGTCATGATCTGTGCCCTTGGTGCCCAATTCAGGCAGCCTACACGTTAAATATCCAGAACTCACACACACACACACACACTGTGGGCCAAACAGCTTTACGTGACATGCTGCATCATTGTTGCCACTCAGCACATGATTGTTACGGGAATGGGTTCCGGGGAACCCAACCTGAGCCGTTCGGCTCACTAATGGAGGTGGCTGCATAGCCATCGGAGGGAGAGCAGAATAGGATGGGTGTATGGAAGTACAACCTGTCATATCCCGGAATCCCGACCCCGCGCACTCCCACCACATCACACCTTCCTAACAACTTCACCATCCCCTACACCTTGCCTCCCCACTCTCCAAGTCACCTTCCCTCCTGACTGTCTCAGCTCCGGTCTGGTTGCGGCACACCGAACCTTGGCCACTCCCATCCCGGAACCTCGGTCCCGAGTCGGAACATTCGGAGATCCCGGATTTGCTCCGATATCCTGACGGACCTCCGACATCCCGTGACATGCCCTTAAACCCTTCCTCCACCCATTTCATTTATTTGAGTCACCCAACATCCTTCGGATACGCAACTCCGCTTTCGGAGCTACCCGCATCCTTCGGTGATCTCCCTCACGTTATCACTTATTAGTCATCTCCCATTCTTAGCACGACTACCTTCTTACTACCATTCAGTCGGCTAACCCCCTTTATCCATTTGTCTTCCCCATTCATTTTCCGGCCTCCAACTCCGCCCTCCTTGGCCCGACACCTTGGTTCCCCGTTTTAGATATCGTTCGGAACCTTTCGGTACCTCTCGGTATCATTCGGTACCTTTCGGTGTTTTCCCCATTTTGTCATTTCGGGCTTTGACTAAAGTCCTCCCCATCCTCCTTTAATAAATACACGTAGATTAGAACCTGTAGTTCCTCAGTTCTAATCTCGACTAAAATGCCACCCAAAGTCCCTCTGAGTGATTCCTGTTCCTGTTCTACAAGACACCTCAGACATAAGAAATACAAGGACTAACTGAGACGTAACGGAGGCACAGCGCTCCCTCCGAGTCGCTGAGGCCGCATCCTTCTTAGAGCCTCTTGTACCATCCAGCAGAACTGGGCTCCCTGAGAAGCTTCGGTTCACTACCGGAGCCCTCGGACCCCCCTCTAGTTGAGCCCCGCCTGCATTCGGACTCACGCATTTACCCCCCTCTTCCACTACCTCCGGGGTTTTTAACACAACCTGTGTGTCGGCCAACGGTAACTTGGCGCTCCTGGGAGCATACCGGTAGCGAGTATGATGTGGGCTCCTTGAGGGAGCCACCTGGCTGTCTGCTAACGGGGACTTGGCACTCCTGGGAGCGTGCCGGTAGCGGGTGTGCTGGGAGTGTTTGGCTAGCGGTAACTTGGCGCTCAATGGAGCGTACCGGTAGTGAGGGATACTGGGACTCCCAAAGGGAGTCACCCAGTTGGTGGCTATCGGTGACTTGGCGCTCATGGGAGCATACCGGTAGTGGGAGTTGTTGGGGAAAGCGGGCTGGTGGACCAGTGCACGGTAGTGGGTGACCGTGGGAAGTGGGACCTGCAGGTGCGTGCATCCTGGAGCTGCCTGGACTGTATCCTTCTCCTGAGGAGGTGGGATCGGCTACAGTTCCTGATAGGGAACTTCTGGTAGGATGGGAGTAACCACTCGACCACCCGGTGGACTGGTGGGAGTGGGCAGCAGGAGGTTGGGCATGGGAATGCCCTCCTCGTTGCGGTTTTGTCATGGAGAGGATGAATAGGGAGGTGGACATGGTTCCAGGGTTACAGGTTGAGTTTACAGTGGTGACACAATGGTGAGGATGTTACAATCGCGGTACAAGGTTTGTGGGTTATGTATTTGATAATGAGAAAACATCTCGGCATTTGCCATACATGTCATATGACTTGTATCTATCTAATACAATGGTTGTAATGGCCAAGGGAAGTCCCTTGGAAATCAACAAATCCCCCAGCCAGCACCAAAACCCAGTGGGAAAGCTTGGCATGGGGTTTGACAATGAAATAAAGGTGGAGGGACCAAAGGTTTGAATGTTCAGTCATGGACCATAAGATTCTAGGTCCATTCCTATAACAATGATGCTGAGGACTGTCTCGATTCATGTATAAGTTTTATGTGACATAGGTATGATAGAACTACGAGTCTTATGCATAATACCTGTGTACATCCAAGGTGTTGAGGCACTTAGGGAGACCTTGTAAAGCAGTATAAATGGGCTAATAACAATGGCAAACGTGTAGCAGCGCAGTGAAATCATGAAACATGGTGAGACATTGGAACCGCTGCTTGTTGTCCAACGCGAGGCAATGAGTCTGTCAAATGCAGCAGCATGAAGCAGCTAGCCTGACACTGCTGGGCAGTTAGCAGCCTCCCATCGGTTAGTAGCATTTCTGTCACGTCCATGATGGCGTTTAACACGAGTAGCGAGGTCATAGGAGTGGAGTTTGATCGCCAATTCACGAGCATATTTCGCAACATCTCGGTCAAAGGCCAAGTGCATCAACTTTTTGAGTGCATATATAGCACCTGCTTTTCGATCATCTACAAGTGTGCATCCATCATGGTTGCACAAGGCAATCCAAATGTCGATTTCAGGGTTCCCAAACCGTTTCGAAAATCCCATACTATGATAGAGAGTGATATGGAAGGGTGGTGTGAGGACAACAATAGGACCCTACTAACGAGAATGTCAATTAGACATCATTAGTTGTGCAACTTACTGACATAGAAATATGAATTAAGCCAATGCGTTGTGGCCGTAATTTCCTTTGGAAGGTGGCAAGAGTCACATGAATGCTTGTGGGGGTTTTCCAAAGAAAAACGCGAGTGCAGGACATGTTCGAACATAGGTGAGATGGGCATGTGAGAATCCTCCCTTGTGATGTAGTCTGCTGTCTCTACAAGTACGAGGAGAGACTCTAGAACATCAAGGGAAACGCATTGAAGCAATCCTTGATGCAAACATTTCCTTCGAAGCTAGGAAAATGATCAAGAGGGATCGCAAGTTGGGAAGGGGACTCACTTCGACAATCTTGTCAAACTGTGACAATGGGTCATCTTGGGCCAATATGGATGTGATTTCAGAATTAAAAGTAGCCTCTGTCTCAGTAGGGACTTGAAACAGAGAACACTTTCAACCAAATTCAGATCAAGGAGGAGGATGGAGAGTGATGTCTCACCCATTCATGTTGACCAAGCATAGGGATACCCATTATCCCAATTCGCATACAAAGCGAATTGATCTCCAAGCCGCTTCAATTTGTTCTTTGCATTAAGGGAATAAAGAAGCGTCTTGGCGACAAACCAACTTTCATCGTGGAGGGTATTGATTGGCATCGGGCCATTGGCAGCATAGTCTTGCATTTGTTCCATATTGTATGCAAACTAGAAATGGTTAAAGAAGGATCAAAGGTAACGAAGAACTCACTGGCTGTTGGGTGCGACTCGTGCTGGGCTGGTCCTCGTGTGCATCTTGCTCACTTGCACCCTCATCCTCATGTTGATTGCAGGGACCAAGGAGATGGTCCATTGTCTATGGAATTCTGTTAAATGCTCTCAAAATGGCAATGGACTCATGTTGAGTTTGTCATGGAGGCGTGTGAGCACTTCGTGTAGGTTGTCTACATGATCTGAGTGTTCAACAGCCAGAATCTCCTCAATGTGGTTCATTTGTCCCATAATGTTGACATCATCTTGTCACCCAATGTCTACAGACGTGCCTCTGTCCAGCTCCCAAGCGTCCATCTCTGCAGAAATAGCAGAAGGGGAAGCAAGAGCCAAGGAGAGAGTGAAAGAGGCATGGCGTTGTCTGTTTAGCCAAGGGAGGATGGCTGCACCTGGGGGGAAGATCAGAGGTAATCATGAGGCTATACGCATACCCTAGCTAACTGTGTTTCAAGGTGAAAAAAAGAGCAAGGAAACAATAGAGGACAACAAGGAGAGCCTGATAAGTGCTAAGCATTCATCAATCACAATCGGGCACTGACTATAGTACACAGGGGTCGAAGAAAAGGAAGGCTTCAGTGGGGACTGGTGCCAGGAAAAGGAAGAAAACTAGCAACACCAAGAAGAGGGGCAAGGTGACAACCCAACCCTTGACCACCTGCTTGTTAGACACTGGTCCAGGGTCGGCACCGAAGGTCACCGTTGCGGGCCACTATAGGCCGCGATGGCTGTGATGCCATGAACAAGGCCCGAGGGTAGGGCATTTGGCCTCAGTGACTCTAAAGGAGCGCTGTGCCCCCTAGCTGTCTCTTGGCCCTCATTTCAGACTTACTGGGGTTGCCTTGCTGGGGTCAGGACATAGAAGGTCATGGTCAAATCGATATTAGAGCTAAAGTACTATAATGTATCATACAGGATATATATAGGAGGAAGGAATGAATGGAAGCGGACCCAGGCCGAAGGCCGAAGGGTCCGGAAGCAAAAGGGAACAAGGAGCGGGGTTGGCTGCACAGCAGCTGGCAATGACCAAGGGTCAAAACAAACAATAACAAATAAATAAACGAAGGGGTGTAGGGCCATGATAGCGGTGATGACAATGGTATCGGCGCTGGACTCGGAGTTGGGCTGGAGTCAGGCGCAGGAATGGTAGCAGCCCAGTGAGGGCCAAGTGGGCGGAGTAGGCGATGTCACGGAGTCACGCTAGGTGTGGTGCCTGAGGCGGACTCTGAAGGGATCACTTACACAGGATCAGGGTTATCGGTTGGTATGATGGGAGTGACTGCAGCCCGTCACTGCCACCTGTACTGAAAAGGTGTCACATGGGCAAGGCAACTTTGTTGTGTCCTGACATCTCATATCACAGCTTCCATTGGACCAATCTGGATGAAATTGGTGTTGCTGGAAAGCTGCAAATTAGGAGGATTTATTGGGATGAGGAGTGTTGGGATTGTCCACATTCTTATTCATTTTAGCTTCCCAGCCTGTGGTACATATACTGTACCCGCACGACCAATTACCAGCTGAGGTTCCAAGTGTGACACAAAATAGTCAACCTGTGATGTGTGACAAGCAACTGGAAGAGGTGGCAAGGTTGGTGTGACACCAGCCACAGTGGCGCTGGAAATGTCCAACTGGCAAATCTTCGTGTTGATACATTTTACACCAAAAAAACTACTTCCTTGCAGATGGCTTTTGTTTTCATTGAATTTAATCTGATTTCACACAGCCACTTTGGCGCCAAAAAAAAAATGGTGTGACAAGGATCATTCAACTGGAAGGTCAGTGTGATGCGTGACAACAGTGTCATATCCATACAATCCCGACCTCCGCTCCGGGCTCCTGGAACTCCGAACTCCGACTTCCGGAGCCCTACTTCCCTTCCATCACTTTCTCCTTGCCGACTCCCAAGAGGTTATCCCACCTCCGGCTCGGACACCACCTTCGGTCCGACTCCGGAACATTCCGGGTCCGACCCCAACCTCGACACCTTCCAGACGAGTACGCAAAACCTATGCTCCCGACTCCGGACCTCCGCTCCGGTATCCCGTTCACGGCTCGTCTCCGGAACCTCCGGTCTTAGTTCCGACCTCGGACTTTGACCCCACCTCCGCTTATACCCATTGTATTGGTTAGCTCATTCCATTTAATTACCTTTGCCAATATTCCGGAGTTTAACCTCCGAGTTCGGACTTTCCGGACTTACTCCGGACCTTGCAACTATTGCATTGTCCATTTCAATTCTGCTATTCTCCCTCATTCCTATTTGGGCTGCTGCTTCCTTTCTATTCAGTCAGCTAGCCATTCCCGACTCCCATCCTCCCTCCTTCCTTCTTGGGTCTTGGCCCTTCATTCCTCCTTTGGGAAACACCATTGAGTCAAACACTTGACCCTCGGTGTTGTTCCTCTTTCCATCTCCCTTTGTCTCCTTTTGTCCTACCCTTGTTCCTTTTGATTCCGGACCCCTCCTTATATACAATGTACCTAGTAACTTGTAACCTCAGTCCGAAATCGACTGGAATTCCCCACCAAGAGACTTTCCCTCTGCTAGATCCGAAATTAGGGACCCCTAGGACAACCAGCAATGGCACAGCGCTCCGCCTGAGTCGCTGAGGCCGAGGTCCTTCCATGCTAAGTCTCCGATTCCATTCCGGAGTCGTCCGAATCCGCACGTTCTAACAAACAGCCCACTTACAGCCGGACCGGAAGGTGCATGTGATGCATGACCAGTAATTGGTTATGCGGGTACAGTAGTTGGAGTCTGAGTCTGAAGGTAAACCAAGGGGAAGACAAGTAAATAGGAATGACTCCACAGGTCAAATATAGATTAAGTGAAAAAGATGAGGAGTCCAGAGGGAGAGGAGGGAAGGCAAGGTGGGGGAGAGAACTACCAATGTGCTGAGGGGTTTGTGTTAGAACGGGGCGGGAACAGACGACTCCGGAGTGGAATCGGAGACTTAGCGTGGAGGGACCTTGGCCTCAGCGACTCAAGCGGAGCGCTGTGCCATTGCTGTTTGTCCATTTGGTCCTTAATTTCACAGTAGGTGAGCAGGAAGTCTCTTGGGGGCATTTCAGGTCGATTTCGGACTAAACCAAAATGAGTATGTACAAGCGCCGATATATATAATGGAAGGGGCAAAAGCACAAGGAGGACAAAGGGTAACCGAATCGGGACGAAGACGTCCGAACGGGAACAAAGGGTAGAAGAAGCAGAGAGGTACTGAAGGTCATAAGGCAGGACCTGTGATACATCCGAAAGGAGGTAGGGAGGGCGAGGCCCAGAGGGGCAGGAGGATGAGGGGAAGTGGGGATGATGACTAACTGGCTAGAATAGAAAGAAGCAGTAGTCCAAATAGGGATGAGGGGAAAACGTGAGAAATACATTACAAGCGGCGAGAGGGCCGAAGGTGATCCGTGAAGCTTGGGGGTTGCGGAGCTTACGGAGGTTACGGAGGCGGGGTTGAAAGTCCGAGGGATATTGGCAATGGTGTTTACGTAGTATGAGGTCACCAATGCAATGGACTAAGACCGAGGTGGAGTCAAAGTCCGAGGTGGGGACTATGATGGAGGCTCGGAGTAAGGTACGAGCGGTGTCTGAGTGCGAAGTACGGAACAACGGTGGAAGGTCGTAACTTGGCGGAAGGGTGGCGGAGGAGTAGCAGAGGGAAAGGTAAGGGAGAAGGAGTGGCGGGAAGGAGAGTAGTCAGGTCCGAAGGTGAGTATCGGAGCAGACGGGGGAAGCGTAGGAGGATGGCGAGAGGGGCAGTGTTCGGTCCGAGATGAGTATCGGAGCGGACGGAGATAGGGTCGGGGAGGTAAGGAGGAGGTGTGTTGCCAGGACCGAGGGTGAGTATCGGAATGGCAGCGGTAGGTTATGACTCCGGAGGTGAAGAGGGTGGAGGTCCGGAAGTCGGGTCGGGGTCGGGTATGCACGGATATGACAGTTTGGGTCTGAAGGTAAACAAGTCACAATATGGATTAGGCAAAAAGCCTGAATTACATCTGGGGGTGTGGAGTGAGAGTGTGGGAAACCAACTCAATGGTAGAGTCTGGGCCTGGCTATAAATTGTTGTAGTTTGAGGTGTTGCTTTTCTTTCAATCTTCACTCTATATATAGTCATGTGACTTTGAGGTTGACTTTATCCCATGCATCCTTGTGGGCCTCCAGGTACATCTCCTGACACTAACCAGCAACTTGTACCAACCATCAGAGGGGGTTTGGAGATGAAGTGGGATGGAGAAGATTGATTCCCATACTAGATATACACTGCATATACCCAATTGGAACTAAAATCTGACCAATCCAACAGTGTTAGGGATGGAGAGAGATGGATTGAACAACATAGACATAAAAATAGATGGATGTGCAGCCACACAATCAGGAGAATCCAACAATCTCCGCAATGACTCTCCCAGCCTTGGCATCGTTCGACTCCTCTTGACAGTAGCTTTCCAACAATACCAAATTCATCTGTGTCAGAGAAGACCTGTGGGAACTATGGGAAGAATACTGTGAAAGTGGCCCTGGGAACTAACATGTCTGGGTGGTAACCTGGTCTGGAAAAATATCAAAAAAATACAGAAATGATGGGGGAGGTGAAATGGGCTATGGGGGCCAGGGAACTGTGCATTGGGCTCTTGATGATGTCTGTAAGCTGTGATATTGCAGTGGTTGGGTCCTGCCAGCTTGTCAGAGTCTGGATTGCTGTCAGAGACTGGGAATATTGTCAGAGTCGGGCAGACTGTCAAAAGACGGACTGAAGACGGAATGGGTTTCTGTCTGAGTTGGGGTCGGAGGTGATGCAGAGGTCTGTTGGAGCGCGCGCGCGGATATGCGGGCAGAAATATGCGGCGCGTCCGGAAGCGCTGTTCAAGGTTAGCAGAGTGGGATCGCGGCCTCAGCGACTCAGGTGGAGCGCTGTGCCCTGAGCTTGACATTTGGGGGAGATCCCGTATTTACGGATTGACACTCACAGCGGACTTCAAACAAGACTTGCGGGCGGAGCGGACCTATAGGAGGAGCACGGACTCCACGAGCACGGACTCAGAGGGGGGGAAGCCCCCTTTGCAGAAGGAGAGACTCAGAACAGA